TCTTGTCGTTTACAACTTACATCTTCATATACGTTTGAATCTAAATTATAACATACATCGACCGATCGACGAAATATAATACAAAACATAGCGACATTAGTAATACAAACCGCCACACTGCCAACTTCGTTGACAATGTAATGTTTATCTAAAAACGAACGATTATCGTGATGTTTCATGCTATAATGCTTTTTGTTACATATATACGCACTAGCTAGTAAACAATCACACGCAATGCAGTATGGCACTTCTAACAATCAAACTTTATAAATTAACCGATGTTATTCGTTATTCGTGGGGTAGCTTTCACAAAAACTAAACAAATAAAAGACTAATAACAAATAAACCCAAAAAAAAAAACTTTAAATGTGAGCCATACAAGTGAAATCCTCGTTGCTTGTTCTAATAGTAAGCTTGTATAATTAAATAAATGTTGACTGATTAACCACCACACAATGGCCCCAAGACAACTGATAACAAAGATATTGATATCACCGTAAATTCTAGCCGTTTCTTTTGCTCACCCCCTTTCTTCCACTACTTGTAATCACGTTTTCTTTTTATTTTTTAATTCTCATAGCCAATCCCTTAATCACAAATTTCAGTAGAAGTAATTATTTTTACTTGTCAAACACTCTTTTGAAAGTAAGGTGTGCTAAGAAATGGATGATAATATTACACGGGAGTTTTATCCGGTCACATGAATTGATTGCTCTTCCGACTAATGCTTGAGCATAAATATCATGTAAATGCCTCAAAAATTTTATAATTTTAAAAAGGGATAGTGTTCTTTACAAAATTTGTGTGTCTAATAAATTAGCTTGCCATCAAAACGATCATTCCTTTCCAAATTTAAACACTAGTGATTGGTGGAAAATTGTTGAAATATTAACTTTAATTTGTTAATCATCTGTCCAGAAAGATTACGGTTTTCGATATGAAAGTCATTAGATATAAATCTTAAAAAAAAATGTAACTTTCGGTGCTTCCATTTAAAAAATTGAATTTTTCAATGGGTTTTTTGTGGTACATCGTAATCACTTTACAGATTAGAGTGTAAATACAATTAACATCATATCAAAGAAAAAACAAACAATGATTCATATGATGTGGTGGGCGATGTACACGAAAGAGAGTCGTACTATGGAATTTTGTTTCGAAACTTCAAAGTTGTGCGTCTGAAAAAATCGCTTGGACGATAAAAGTTTTCACAAAACAAAATATCACGAATTTGTCCTCTTAGGGGCATTTACGTCAAAATACCAGGGCAATATTCATCCACGTGTACAACAACACACACACATGATTCTTTCATCAAAATATATATAAAAAAATCTCCATTTGCTTATATTCCTATATAAATCTCTAACGTTTCTCCAACTTACAATTTACGAATCTTATTTCCCTAACTAATCACCACAC